CTTGGCCTGTGATGTGCAAGTGGTGGTGAACCAGTCTGCCTGAAACATTGGGGTAGTGCAGCATGAGGCATCTCAGCTCCTAGCTCTGAGCACCTTCTGGTTGTCCTGTGAGACATGGCCTTTCTTCCCAAGCTGTCTGCTTGCCCACACTAGATGTGCTTGGCCTTAGAGAAAAGCAAAATTGGACTCACAGGAGCAGTCACATATGGACAGGGGACACAGCAGCCTAAGTGCGTGGATTTAACAGAGGCTCAAGGAGACCCTGTGGAATGTTGGTGGACATAAACACTGGCCATGTTGCACCTTACTGTGATCTTCTCTTCCCAAAGCTCCTTAGCTCACCTGCTATACAAGTCAATTCCCACAGAGCCCAAGTTCTACCAGGGTCCTCAAATATGCTCCACAATCAGACACGGAGGCTGCCTGTTCAAGAAGTGGTGTTGTGAAGGGAGTGGCTCATTTCTGCCTGGGAAAGGGCTGGTGGCTTCCGGGTGAGTTGAGGAAGCAGCTCTGTCTCTTCTCAGAGGTCATAGGGTGGCATATTCAGGGCCAGTTGACTCCAGCCTGCCTGTGGCTTCCCATCTTCTTGTCTCTCTCTTGACGCAGGCAGAGGCAGGACAGTTAAGTGGGGCTTTGGCTCAGACCTGGGTTCAAATGTTGCCTTCGTCACTTTATTCCTATGTGACATTGGGCATGTAAGATACTACCTATGAAACACGGAGGACCTCATTGTAGAGCTTGTTAGTGTTAAATAAAAGTGCATTAAGGGATGGAGATGTGTGGCTCAGTGATTGAACACTTGCCCAGCATATGCAAGGCCTCTAGTTCCATCCCTAGCACTGCAAACATGTGCATTATGTGTGTATACCTGTGTGCCAGTACTGGGGGCTTGAACTCAGAGCCTAGGTACTGTCTCTTCGCTTTGTTACTTAAGGCTGGCATTCTACCACGTGAGCCACAAACTCCACTTGCAGCTTTTTTTATTGTTAGTTGGAAAGAAGAATCTCATGAACTTTCCTACGTAGGCTGGCTTCAAACATTGGTCCTCAGATCTCTGCTTCCTAAGTAGCAAGGATTACAGGTGTGAGCTACTGGTGCCTAGTGAAAATGTGCTTTTAAGTGTCCATTATGGTCTGGATGTGTGATCTGCTTCGTGATCACAAACATCTCTCCCAACACTCCCTTGTACCCTCCAGTTTATCTGTCTATTGTAGTTCTAGTCTCTGCTTTCTCATCCATTTGTCTAGATATCTTGGTAACAAAGAGTCCCTGATTTCCTTCCTACCCATCTTTTGATTTTCAGTTTGTGTGTGTGTGTGTGTGTGTGTTTTCCTCTCTTGATATCAAACGACTATCCTAACTCATCCTCCCCCATCCCTCCATTGCTGGGAAGATTTCTAAGCACTACCCCATCCCTCCACTGCTGGGAAGATTTCTAAGCACTGATTTCCAACTTGGCCTCCCTTTCAGCTTCTCTTCTGAACTGTGTTGCTGGGCCCCGTTCTGGATTACTGCCTCTACTGTCTTCCATCTAGAACCCCCAGGAACCTAGTGGAAGAACGAATGTACTGCAGTCTGTTTACTCAAATGGCTTTGGGGGAGTTAATCAGAACACTCAGTTTCTATTGTGGAAACTCCCTATCTCTGGAGCACCTAGGGCACAAGCCTTACCCCGACAGTGGTCTGCATCAGCACTGACCAAGGTGGGATTCACTGTCAGCAAGCTCTGTGACTGAGACCTGAGTATCACCATGGCTTAGTCCAGTGCAGGTCCATGCCTCTGGACCTGTGCATCTGAAAAACACTGGATGAAGCAGCGAGGTAGAGTGATGTCACAGTGGCCACCCCATCCCCACAATGGGAACTGTTCCTACTGCTTTATAAAACTATCCAGCTCCCTGAAAATTGACCTAAATATTTTCTCCATATTTCTCTAAATATCTTAAATTTAGACCAATTATATACCTGATGAATGGTACTTTAAAACACACACCCACTCTTACTTTATGGGTGCTTATGTCTGTAATCCTAGCTATGCAGGAAGCTGAGGTATGAGAATCATGGTTTGAAGCCAGGCTGGCCAGGCAAGTCTAGAAAGCTTGTGTCCACTTGACTACCAAAAAGCTGGAAATGGAGATATGATTCAAGTTGGCAGAGTACTAACTTTGTGCAAAGAAGCTTAGGGACAACACCCATGCCCTGAACTCAAGCCCCAGGACTGGCACACACATAGAAAACAAAACCCTAAACAATTTTATGTCCTGTGTTTGTGTGGAGCATCAGGGTCTCTTAGCCTCACTCAGGAATCCTAAAGGTAGCACCCTGTATGTAACAAGCCTCCACTGGCCCAGGGCCCCGGCAAAGTAGCCAGATGGTGAAAGGAGAGGTTACACAGGGCAAGGCCTACTCACCGTGAACATCATCTTGGGGTAAGCAGCCCTTCACCTGCAGACTTTTGGGAACATCCACTGATGGCTCTAAATGGATCTGCATAGGATGGGGGTGCGGGTTCTTGGGGTAGCCCCCCCCATTCTTAATTTGGACTGCGTGACTGATATGCATGGAGGTGATGTCCTTGCTTCCTTTCCAGCTTTTGATCTTGCAGTTGTGCTTCTAAAGCTGCCTTTTGCCTAAGCTGGTGTTAGCTTAGGACAGGTATATGACTGCAGGTTTGAGCTGCCAGCATTTTACTCTCTTCTCTGGTCCTCAGCACTCCCTGGACCTGTCTGAGCCAGCGAGCACTGTCCACAGCTGTCCCAGGAAGGGAGGTGTCCCTGAGATACTCCTGCAAACTTCCTGCTGTCAAAGATTTCTTCCTTCATGGGGTAGACAACACCTGAACTTTGTAGTATATTTGAATTCCCTGGCTCAGACTTGTCAAAGGGGGCAGAAAGGGCCCACATTCTCATGAGGTTGCAGGTAGCTGACCCCTCGGCACTAAGCAGGAAATATCTAAGAATTCTGCAGCAAGAACAATAAACAGTCCTATTTGCTATGGGGGGTTGATGGGGACAGGAAGGAATAGGGGAAAGAATCTCTCCTGTCTCCTGCTCCACTCACTAAGGTGGTAGTACTCTGAGTGTGGAGTGATGGCCCCAAGCAGAGCCTGTTGGCTTATGAAAAAATTCTGAAAGAGGAATTTTTTTGATCAGAAAGAAAAAGCCAAAGAAAACAAATCACATTTATGTTTGGTATGGACTTAAATGTTGGTGTGTGTGCCAGTCCTGGGGCTTAACTCCGGGTGTTCTCTGAGCTTTCTCTCTCAAGGCTAGTACTCTACCACTTAAACAACAGGCCCACTTCCAGCTTTTTGGAGATAAAAGTCTACAGACTTTGCTGCCTAAGCTGGCATCCAACTGTGTTCGTCACATCTCCCGCTCCTGAGTAGCTAGGATTACAGGCATGAGCCGATGGTGTCTGTCTGGACTTCATATTTGAACATGAATTTTGTTAAGGGAAAAAGGAGAAAAAGCAGTGGCTTGTATGCATTGCTGGGCTCGCTGCCAGACCCCCAGGGCAGGTATGGGAGATACCTGATCTGGTTGAACACCACTTCAGTCTATTTGGTTTTCTATTATTCTATTCCCCAACAGCCAGGGCTGCAGTCGCCAGGCTCAGGACCAGCTCTAGGGAAATACACCCAGGTAGAATCTGCTGGTCAGTGTTTTCCCAAAGGGTATTGAATGTCTCCAGATGTGCTTCTCAATTTGGAGAACCAGAGAGGGAAGCTTCAGGTCAGTACTATCAAGGGGCAGGGCCTGGAAGGGTAAGGAACTGTTGTCTGTGGTGGAAGTTGAAAGCAACACCTCAGAACCTTCCAGAACCAGTCTTAGTGACTTTCTTGCTACACAGCCTTAGGTTTCCCCTGTGATTCCTTGCCAGAGCCCGAGGCTGGGGAACTGTCTGGAATGTAGTATCATGGGGTGGAACTGCAAGTGACCAGTATCTTTCATCTGCATCTGCTTCCCAGAAAGTTGGTATTATAGACACAAAAGCAGATCTGTAGACAAAATGTCTTCATTCTCAGCCAGACAAACAACTCCCTACTCCACTGACTCACTGGCCAAAATACAGTATACAACTGAATCTTTTTGAAAGACCCATAACTAGTCCATCAAGGAAGGATTCAGACCATCTACTAGATACCCAGCCCCAGCGTGGCAGGACACTCAAGGCCACTGGGTGGTGGGGAGCTCTTTGGGCCATTTCTACCATAGGCCTGCTGAGAACAGCGCCTCCTATGGGCACTGGCCCTGAAAGACAGCTGGCTGGCTCTTCCTAGGAGTACAAAGGTCAAAAGCATTTGTGGGTCAACAGATTACTGTGCTTTCCAATTTGCTTTGTAAATGGTATATGTTCCTAAAAATACTATTTGATTTTTTTTTAAAGTAAAAACACTCATCTTCTCATCAAAATAGCCAACTTAAACCTGATTCTTGGCTAAGGAAATTTGTTAGCAAAATATTTAGCACTGAATTCAGTTAAATGTAAGACTGGCGATGCCAAGCAGTTCATGTTCTTCTTGCCAGCTGCTGCTGGAGTTTCTCCATCCTGTAGGAGCCAGGTGTGGTGGCACATGCCCATAGCCCTAACTACTTGGGAGGCTGAAGCAGGAGGATCATTTGGGGCTAGGCCTAGGCAACATAGTGAACTTCTGTCCCCTAAAACTAAACCTATTCTATGGGATTCCTCTGAGCTCTGCTAGTGAGGGCTGTATATGTTTATATCCTTCCCCTGACTTTCTCCAGGTGATGTCCAGGGCTCCAGTATTTATGGCTTCACCTGTGAGGATAAAGGCAGGGGGATTAGCCATGGAGGGCCAAGGTGACTGATTAGACAAGTCTACACATACAAACTTATATATCTATATAAAAAACCATAAAATATTTTAATTCTCTTTCCATGGTCACAAGCTTTCTGCAGTAAAGTTGTACCTCTATCTTGTGGTGACAAGGCCTCAGTACAGGTGATCCTAGAGTATCAGGACAAGCCACAATTAGGTTTCTGTGCTAAGGACCTTGGGTATGTGGAAATAAGAGCCGGTGCCTCATCCTTTAATCCAACCGCAGCTTGAAATGCATCTGTCCCAGTTGCAAAAGCCACAAAACACCAATCATGCGACTTACCCCAAGACCGGATTTTTATAAAACATATATCTATACATATATATTCAGCACAATAAATGTGCTTATGATGCACTCTAACATAGAGCACAGGAATATACACACACTGGCGTGTACCTCCCCTGCCAGCGTTCCCATGGCTGCAGGTGCAGCTTAACCAGACACACATAGTGTGACAGAGGCAGGAAGGTACAGAGCGTGCCACACTCCAGGCTTTTGCGATTCATCCAACACTTAAGAAACGGTCTTCTTTGTCCAGTTGGGGACAGGCACAGTCACAGAAACAAGGTCATTTCTGAAGAGCTCGAGATCTCAATCCGGAAGTGAGTGATTAATGTCAAAGTCCTTCTCCAGCAGGTGGGGACTGGCTTTGGGGGTTGAGACTAGACGTGGTTTGTTTGAGACACTTATACATTCATATGGCTCACAGCCACATGTCCTGGGGAAAGTGCACTTCCAATGGGGATACAAACACAGATTGGCACGCCCTTTGACACATGAAAGCAGACCTTTCAAAAATCCTTCATTCCCCTCCCTGATCTGCTCTAGCACTTCACGCTGGCAGGGCTCATGCGTGCCCGGGCGGAGGAGGGTGAGGCCTGGGAAGCAGTTAGGAGTTCTGCTCATGGGTAGCTAGATGAACCTCGGCCATCCTCAGCACGCCACTCTTCTTGCTTGTTCTCAGTAGTAAACAGCTCTCCTCTCCCCTTGGCGAGCTAGACCAAAGAATCCCTGAAGTTTCAGTCCTGAAACTTTTCTTCACGAACACACAGAGAAAAAGCAGCTTGGTACTTGCAGTTCTATTTCTGCCTTTGTAGTAGTGAGTGCTGCTCCTCTGCGCTCACAGGAAGAGGTCCATGGCCCCGTGGCCCCTGTGCTAGGAGCTCTGGACCAGGCGTCTGTAGTGGGGCATCACTTCATGCTCTGGTAAGTGAAGTGCAAATTCCAAGGCCACTAACACTGGGAATTCAAAGGCAATCAGTTCTCGTCGGTTCAGCCGGAATTTCTCTTCCAGTTTCTGCATACAAAAAAATTAGATAATGAAAATTCATTCAGTTTTGAAAGGAAAATCCTGTTTTCTTCAAGTACCATTTATTTTATCGGCTAATGAATGCTGATGGAGAAACTCACTGACAGGTTTTCTTCAGCAACAGAAAACTTGAGACTGAGTGATGTATAAAGAGTAAGAGGTTCTAGAGGCTGAGAAGCACAAGGTCTGGCATCTGCATCTTGGTGAGTGAGGGCCTTGTGCTGCTTAAGCTTGCAGTGGAAAGAAGGGCAAGCAAGTGCATGCAGAAGGCTAGAAGAGGGTGACCTCACTTTCTAATAGCCTGTTTCCGTGGTCACTAACCTGATTCCAAGAGGAGAACCCAACTCCTAAGACCAAGGTACAAAGCTTTAATCATCTCACTCCTGCCTTCAGTCCTGGTAGTGACGCACTTGTGCCCTTGGTCTACCTGGAGACTCGTCACACAACTTCATCCAATTCTCTAACCATCTCCACAGGCTGAGTTTGCATTTTATCTCTAATTTACAGAGAAGAACACAAGCTCCAGAGGTCAAGACCACTTGCCCAAGGTCACGTGGATGGAAAACTTCAATGCCAGCACAAAAGCCAGATTTCAACTCTTACAGGACAGAGGCAGAACTAACACCACAGTGCACCTCGTCCACACCACTCACAACCCCTTGCGGATTCTCAACAGGTGAGATGACCAACTTGCAATCCAAGCTTTTCATCTTCCTCACAGGGAACATGGTCCTTCTTAAGTGCTCCTCCTTTCCAGTGCTACACAGCTGAGTGGCCAGTGGTTCCCACACCCATCTACCCCACAGCAGGAGACGCTGGAGAGAACAGTGGGAGGGAGTGGGGACAGGAAGGCCTCATTGTGCTGAGACAGTCTGCTCCAGCTGAAACTCTGCCTTTTCATTAAGCCAAAAGCTACCTCCCCAACAGAGCAACTGTTGACCTGCAGTTAGATTCTACCTGGGCTCTTAGGTTTATTGCTGCTGCTGCTGCTGGCTTGCCAAAGCCTGACTGCTATATATTCTGTTTTAATACCATCAGCTTTTGTGGTGTGGTATATTCACCATGGTTAAATGTGTGTCACTTATAATTTTATCTAGAGACTCATTAGCTCAACAAGAAATAAGATATAGGCATTCACCTTATCTTATGGGGAATGAGAGGATGGCTTGGAGGGGATATTTTCCACTCTCTATAGCAGGAGCCTGAAGCTATGGATAGTACCAGACCAGGTAAGTATATGATGGTTTACAGAATATGATAGCTTAACTTATAAACTAGGTACTGATAAGAGAATGATGATAGCTTAACTTACAAACTAGGTACTGATAAGAGAATAACATACTGCAGTGAAAGTTACCAGAATGGGTTCACTCTTGTAGTGTCTTATTGCCCTGCATTTGCGATGTCAGGTGAATTAGGCACATGATGTGAGGCATTGGGACAATGTTAGGCTACCACAGGTTAACTGAGGAACAGGACATTGTTGGGCTACCACAGGTTAACTGAGGAACAGGAGTCCTGTGACACTAAGACAGTCAATCTGATGAATGAGATGGAGTGACTGAAGCAAGTCTGAGTATACTGTAGATGCACTGGACAAAGCTAATTTGTATGCAGGGTGAGACGGCAAAGGTTTTATCATGCCCCTCAGAAAGTAACACAACCCTAAAGCATGTGTGCTCTTTTCTTGAAATATGGCGAGTCCTTACGTTAGCTCCCTTTCTGCTTTTTCTCCTTTGCTACTAAAGACAGCTGGATAGTAAAACATACAGAGCATTGTGTAACCCTCCTTCGCCTGCTGTTTTGAGATGCTGGGACATCTTGCTGACCCGAGAGCAACTGCCCTTCCTAGCCAATACTTCAGTCAATGACGCCACACCAGCATGCGTGTAAAATGCAAGCCTATGAATCCAGAGTTCACACTTGCAAACCACCTCCAGGACAGGTATTCCGTAAGTAGAGACCTATACCCCTTGCAATCATTCCTTCCTGTGGGAATTATAATACAGGATCTTGCCCATAGTTCTTTCCCTCTGCCTCCTGGCCTAACCTAGTACTTCTCTGCTTGGCTTCCCATGCCATGTCCAGCATGTCATACCCAGCACATGGAGTATTGGTGGCCTGCCACCCCAATACCAATGTAATGGTATTAGGAAGTAAAGCCTCTTGGGGGAGAGGGTAATGGGTTCAGGTGGGTCAATGAGGATGGGGCCTTCCCAATGGGATTAGTGTCCTTAAATGAGGAGACTTGAGAGCAGTCTCTCTCTACATTGAAGGGCACAGAAAGACATTTGTGAGCAAGGAAGAGTGTCTCAGGAATAGAAGCAGCTGGTACTTTGACCTTAGCTCTGCCAGCCTCTAGAAGTACAAGAAACAAGCACAGTATTTTGTTATGGCAGTCAAAGCTAAGATGTGCTTCTTCTTGGGAACTGTGAGTAACATTATTTAATGACAACTCCTGAATGCTTTACTGCTCATCAATTTAAAAAATACTATTTTAAAACAGATATTCATATATCTACCCTAGAAGGGTTTCCTTGCTTTGATGGACTTTTCCCTTTAAAGAAAGGATACAGCAGTCCATCAAAACCATACCATTTCCCAAAGAGGAGGGGAGCAAGATGGTAGGCGTGGTGCCTATCAGATGCTCGCAAGACCCCTTGCTGCACCCGTGGCTGAGAGAATGACTGTACCCCCACAGTATCAAAGAATGGATTTTTGTGCCCCAGTACCGGGGCTCTTTGGTTGTCCAAGTGTAACATCCCTCTGCTGTAAACACATACTTACGTCAATTAAATGCTTGACTTCGTGCTTCTTGAGGTCACTTCCAATCTTAGCTGCTAACAGCACACAGGCTCCTGCACAAAGCTTCCTGTTCTGCTTGTTTAGCTTTCCCTTGAGGGCGAGCTTCTCAAAGTAGACAAAAGCCATGGCCACCGTGGGCTCCTCAAAACCACAGTCCTCCTGGGCGAGCTTCCCCATCTCTCGTTTCAGACTAGAGGAAGAGGGGAAGCAGGGAAGAGTCCCGTGAGAAGGGCTGAGGAGTTGTAGGGGTCCCAAAAGATGACAGCTCCATATGGGAAGCATCTTCTCTTTCTTACCCCAGGAAGGTGAAAAATGGAAGGAAATCCCTAGGTTGTGCAGGCTGCGTTACAGACATGGAAGTTGGGGCTCGAGGCTCTTCTTTGCTGGTTTGGCTGCCTAGGCCATGTACGCTTTTGCTATTTTTTTGTGTGTCAATACTGGAGCTTGAATTCAGGTTCTGGGCTTTGTTCCTTAGCTCTTTCGCTCAACACTAGTATTCTACTACTTGAGCCACAGCTCCAGTTCTGTTTTGTTGTTTTTAATTAAATGATTAATTGGAGATCAAAGTCTCATAGACTTTACTTTCTGTCAGGGCTGGCTTTGAACTGCGATCCTCAGATCTCCACTTCCTGAGTAGCTGTCAGCACCTGGTGACCACGATTACTAGACCCAGCACTGCCAAACTGCCATGTCCAGAGGGCAAAGGACAAGCCTGGGTGCCGCAAATGTCACATGGGACATGGAAGGACTCGGTGAGCACACAGATATCCTAAAATCACCCTGCAAGCTAGGAGGGGTGCTGTCCAAGGTCAATGAGGGAACGTGCTCTAACCTCTGCCAAATATCGATAAGATTCATTAAAACTAAGGTGAGTACTTTGTACTGTTACTTTGTACTGGAACATGTCAGAATCTCATCTGTATGAGGACACTCACTGGTGTCAATGTTGGCACATATTCTAACATCCAGTCTAGTTTCTGTCTGCCACACACATCCACACATACTGGGATTCTGCCACAACACAAGTCAGCTCCTCGCTGGCCTGGCTGGGTTGGTCATGTTGACGACGTGGCTGGCAGACGTGGGTCACCACAAAGCCAGTCCAATTAGCTTGATAGTCAACACAGACCTATCTCTGGGCTGCTTTATGACTACTCAAAGACAAGGCCTTGCTGTTGTTACTGGAGTGGGTGACTGTGGTAAAGTTATCTCACACCTGAAGATACCAGCTTAGCTTGCTTTGGCTTTGCCTACGTTGGAGAAAGCAGACGTTGGAGAAAGCAGACACTTGAATTCAGCTGATTCGGAGTTTTTCCATAAGCTCAGGCTTACAGAATTGGGAAGCTACATGCAGGCATCTCCAACTGTGTTCATTGGATGGCAAGAATTTGGCTTTTTATGCCGCTGCCCTGGACACTCCTACCACGCCCAGGCATGAGTCAGTCAGCATCAGGAGAGGTTGTTCTGGATAAGACCCAAAGGACAAAGGCCCACTGTACAAAGTACATGAGCTGAGGAAGGGTTGGAGAGAACAGTTCAGGGCTCACAAGCCTTCCTTACCTCCTTATTTTGCTGAGCGTTAACTTAATATGAGGAAACTTCTCCTTGAATGTCTCATTCATGTCCTTCTTGAGATCTGAGGGCTTCACGTAATCAATCACTGTGGTCTAGAATGGAACAGGAAAGAAGTCACTCTATGTAAAGGTCATGTGTATGAATGATACCCCAAGGGTTATGGCCAGCTTACGACTTCAAAAAACATGACACAATGGGGAAAGTCAGATCACAGCCAAAACTAGGGCTCCACCAAGTCCAGGAGCATGAAGAGGAAAGTGGCCTTCTGGAAGCAGATGGGAATTAGTCACCACTATAAGCAGGATGAGGCCACACTCACTGTGCATCAGGTCCGCAAGCATCTGACCTCATCCTAACTAATTCACATCTGCAATAATCTTTTTGCCCCTACAAAGACGCATTCCAAGGTAACTAGGGGATTAGAGCATCTTTAGAGTTCTGCCCACCACAATAGTTTACAGCTGGGTTTGGATGCATACTTGTCCTCATCAGTTAGACTCTGAGCCCCCAACTCTGCCAAGAAGAGTTGGCAGCTTTAACTGTGGCCTGAGGGAGGACTTTATGAGAGTCTCCTTTCCCTGCCTCTTCTGCTTGTGGCCCTGGCTCTCGTCAGCGCTGCCTTTGTCCTCACCTCTCTGAGCTCAGTGGGAAAGAACAGACCTCTGAGCTTCAACCCGGCTCTGCCATGCAGCATCCAAGTGGCCCAGTGTAACCTGCTTATGCATTTGGGCCTCAGTTTCCTCACCTGGCTTTTATCTTCCTTGATGGCTGAGGAACACCTGATCTTCAAGGCTACTCTATGTCCTGCTCATACCCAACTGCTGGCGACACAAAATCCGAGCGGGTGGCTCCTAAGAGACAATCTACCCTCATGTAAACATTCTGCATGTTGAGGCCATCCCTGGCTTAGACTGCAGGTACTGAAGAATGCTCTCTGCTGTATGGAGGTCATGATGCATGGGAATGGGGGAAGCAGTCGGGGAGACAGAGCTGCAGGTGAGATTACCAGCTGCTCCCCGCCCCCCACTTCTGATTTGAGAGACAATAAATGAAATGTGAGGCCCAATGCTTTGAGCTCACCCACTATATTCCAATTGTATGAGTGCAAACTTGTGATGCCTGGGCTTTTGCCAGAGTAGCACTTTGTTTTATAGTATAATTAAACCAGGCTCTGGTCCTGGTCTGGGATGGTCTGATTTATTGCTACCAGGGATTCGCCTCATGAAGGGGTTCCTCTCAGTCCACAGTTGAAGCAGGCAGCAGCCGGGCTGCGTAATGGATGATGGGTAGTCAAGCACCATGCACTTGCATTGTGCAGAGGTGGCCCTCCTGCTCTTGGACTAGTGTCACCTGACTTCACTTCCTCAAAGCTGCCTGGCTGGAGGGAAGCCATGTGTACTCAGCACAAAGAGGAAGAAGGGAAAGTCAGCTGGGGAAAAATACAGTTCACAAAGGTGCCCTACCCGGCCTACCCTGCTGGTGGATATTGGAAACCAAGTTAGGATGGCCCGGCAGAGGTATGGATACTCTAAAAGAAGAAAAAGCCCTCAACTTGGTTATCCAACTAGAAGAAGCTCCCAAGTCTATTGCATAGCTTGACTCACCATGAGGGAAAGAAGAGGCCTCCAAGGAACCAAATCTGAATGCAAGCCAACTGCAGTATTGTGAAGGAAAGGCCTCTCAGGGCAGGGTTGGGATGCAATGGCAGAGCATAGGGGTACATATGCCCGCCAGTGCTGCACTGGGTCCAAGTTGATAGGTTGCTGGTCGATTTGATAAGAAACAGAAAAGGTGCTTCCTTCTGGGGCCTGGAGCAGCTCTGGCCTCCATTCTCCACAGGAATGCTCATAGCAGTCTTGAATGGGTGCAAGCTTGCTGCAGACTTGGGGCTGTTCTCCCTTGGCCTGAGTCTACTCCTTCCCCCAGGTTGGGTTCCAGCCTCGGGACGACTACACCCAGGTGCTAGCTAGACACCTGGACATGTATGTATTCCCTCCATGCCTCAACCTCCCTGCTGTACCTGGGAAGGGAAGGGCTAGAAGGCAATGATGTGGGCAGATCCTTCACCAGCAGCCTGGCAAACTCGGAGCCCTTCTGCTTCCACTGTGCTTCTCTGAGAGCCATCAGCACGCTCAGCTCAGCTGGGCACTGGGAAAGCAGATGTTCTGTGCTTGTTCAGGTAATTAAGCAGAGGGGGTGGCCCTGGACGAAATCTCTCCAACCACCAACAGATGGGCATTTCAGCTGTTCTATGCATTTAATCCTTTTCTCTAGGAGGACAGCGATGATAAGGAAACTATGGGATTGAGCGAGCGGGAGGCTTGCACGGTCTGGGGCTGCCTTAGCTGCTCTTTCTACCCCTCAAATTCCAAACCCAGGACTCTAGGTTGACTTTAAGTCTTTCCTCTTTTAGGGGAATAGTCCTGTAGGCTCCTTCACTGACATGAACTGGTTTGAGGTTCACGTTACCCTGGGCACAGATCAGGAGGGGGAAGTGTTGGTAGCAGATGCTGCCCACCTTGAATTTTTTTTTTTTTACAAAGAAACCATCTAGTGTGTGTTACTATCAGACAAGTCCAGCAATTGTGCTTTTGTAATGCGGTATTCATTTTCTCAAAGCAGGTCTACCTTCCCAAATGGAAATGTCAAGCATCCAGACGCTTCAGAGTTCCCAAAGGGGCCTTGCTAGAGAAGCTGCTTCATTTCCCAACCAATTACTCTGCAGACAGGCCAATTGGGAGCCTAAGCCATCACCACAACCTTAAAAAACAGTAAGACGGAGTCCAGCAGCAAGCATGATAGGTTAAGTTCACTCTAGTGTTTGGTCATCTTGTGGGTTTCATCTCAAGGCTTTTGTGCTCCCTTGGCTAAAGTTCTACCACTTGAGCCTGCCTTCTGCTGGTAATTTTAGAGATGGAGTCTACTGGCTTTCTCTGCCTAGACTGTCTCCAAATCACTATCTTCGGGATTACAGTCTCCTGAATAGCTAGGATTATAGGCATGAACTACCAGTTCCCAACTTAATCTTTCATTTTTTGAGTCATTTTATTTCTACTGCTGAGTATCTCACCGTGTCCTGGAAAATTAAGACATTTTCCCACAGCACCAGGGATGGGAATTCATGGCAGGCTTTTTCCATGAGCCCTTAAGATTTTGATATGAAGTACATAGAACGCAGGAAGTTGGTCCTGGAGACCAATCCAGCAGCTATTTTCCTGTGGTGTGTATACATGAGAGACACCAGAAGGGATATTAGTAAGATTCCTTTCTAATATCAAAGCAACAAGAGAGCTGTCTTTCTGGGTAAGGAGATGATTCCAGAAACCCATTCAGATAGGGTTAATACTTATTGGCCTTACAACAATTCAGCGCTCTCTCCTCATTGCTTTCTACACCCACAAAGGGAGGAAAAGTGAAAACCAACACCAACGCGAGGTGCCAGGTCCTAATGATAAATAACCACTCTTTAGTGAAAATTATATGCCAGGCAGGGCAGAGGGCTGGAAGCATCCGGTTGTGACCTTCTAGCCACACAGACAACTCCCTGCAAGGACCTGCAAGCACTCGTTTTCACATTCTGTGGTCACCTTCTAGAGCCTGGCAGGCCAAACCACAGGAGTAGCTACAATATGGCCTCCACACCCGCCTGAGTTTTCAGATCAGCCTCTCACAATGGCTGGTCCTAGGACTGACATGCCTGGACCAATGTTAAAAAATACAGTGCACAGCCACTTTTCAAAAGGGTACCATTTCTGCTTTGTAAATGACAGGCTTCACCTCTGGCCCTTTCCAACTTATAGACATGACCAAACTGTGGCGGTGAGTGTCCCTTTTACGAACGCTAATGAGAATATATATCCAACTACCTGCTTAGTACTGAATGATTCAAATCCCATTATTTGCCGAGGTGCTGTTTACCCAAGAAAAATGAAAACATATTCCCACAAAAAGTCTTGAGTAAGAATGTGCACAGCAGCAGTGTTCACGATACCATGTACTGGAAACAACTCAAACATCCCTTAATAACAGGGGTGGAGGAGCCTCCCGGTGCCTCTAGCCATACATAGAAAAAGAAAAAAACGTGAATCTCAGAAGGTGTGAACGAAGGTACATACACTGCTATCTCACTTGCATGAAGTTCAGAATAGGTAAGACCGAATAAATACAGTGGCCTAAGTCGGAAGAGCAGTGGCTTTAGGATGGCTGGGATAAGACTGTCCTATATCTGAATCAGAGGGTGGTAAGAGAATTCACAGGACTGTAGTTAGAATGGGCATAGGTATAAACCACACCTCGTATGGCTTCCGTGGGAACTGGTGACGAAAAGGTCCACTTCTCAACTTGAGTTGCTTGCTTCTGTGGAGAACTCCCAGGTACCTCAGAGCCTGACATTCCATGTAATCAGGAGATGTCAAAATGCAGGACATTAGCCTCCTTTCCGGGGTCAGAGTCTCAGGTTCCAGGCCCTTTACTGGGCTGGCCTAGCTGGGCCTGCCCTGGGGGCCTGAGAGAAGGCAGTAGGGCCCTGAGTCTGGGTGGTCCCTGGCTCTGTTCCCATCAGCAAGCAGAGGTGGCAGCAGGAAGCCCCGGGGGCTGTGGGCAGCACAGCCTGGCCTCACAGCCTGATGGCTGCCTGCTGACAATGAGGGAGAGTGTATAACACTCCTCCATCTGTCTAGGCAGAGCTTTCCTCTAAGGGGCCAAATGGGCCCCAAAGCTCAGATAATCCTCTCTCTTTTTTTTTTTTGGGTCCGGTCGTGGGGCCTGAACTCTGGGCCTGGGCGCTGTCCCTCAGCTCTTCAGCTCAAGGCTACCACTTGAGCCACAGCGCCACTTCCAGCTATTTTCTTTTTGCTTATGTGGTGCTGAGGAATCAAACCCAGGGCCTCAGGCTTGCAAGGCAAGCGCTCTACCACTGAGCCACCTTCCCAGCCCAATCCTCTAACTCTTGCGGCCCATTTTGGGAGTCTCTGGCCTATCCTAACTGCAGCTCCCTGCACCTGGTGTGATGTGTGTGTGTGTGTGCGTGCGCATGTGCACGCATGTACATAAAGGGTCTTTTTTATACAGTGTTCCCATGTAGGAAGCCCAACCTCTGACCCTCTGCCTCATCTGTCACCTTTGTAAGATGGCTCCTTCCATACCCTCCTCCTGACTATAGTGATTCATCTACATGAGCGATTCCCTACTCACCCCACGTCAATGAGAATGGGGGCTGGGGTAGTTGTCCACTGGATGAGGAAGCACCGTGGGAATCTGGCACAGTGTGCTGAGTGTGCAAATTCTGTTACCCAGCACACAAAAACAAAGCGAACATACAAAAAAAGCTCCATACTCTCATTCCTACAAGTTCAGTGCAAATGCCCAAAGGGTCCTGGGGAGCAGGGATAAGGCTCTTTGTCACACATATTACTGACAATTTACAGTAGATTTCCTGCCTTTTAGCACAGTACTGACATTTGCAGCCAGGAGAGAAGCATGGAGGTCTCCCAGAGCTGACCAGGAAAATCAGCAGATGAGAAATAACAGTCTCTACAGCATGGACTCTCACAGGGAGCACATACTACACATCCCATGCAAGAGAAAGAATGAGCCATCTGGGAACATAAGGACAGGACACATATTCAAACTGGAAAGTCATCCAGAACACTGTCCAAGTAGGATAGACAGACAAACATGGATGGACATATATATTCACTCCTGCCAGAACCTCAAAGCTCACAATGAAATCATCTAAGAAAGAAACCAAGGGGGCTGGGAAGGTGGCTCAGTGGTAAAGTACTTGCCTTGCATGCATGAGGCCCTGGGTTCGATTCCTCAGCACCACATAAGCAAAAAGAAAAAAGCCGGAAGTGGTGCTGTGGCTCAAGTGGTAGAGCACTAGCCTTGAGCTGAAGAGCTGAGGGACAGCACCCAGGCCCAGAGTTCAGGACCCACAACTGGACGCCTCCCCTCCCCCCAAAAAAGAAACCTAGCTTGTTAAAGCGTAAGTCAGTGTTATCACCAGACAAAACGTGCCCATAGGAAGCCTCTGCACCCAACCTAAGTCAGTTGGAAGCATTGCACCTTCATTTCCTCTTAGGTACCTAAATAACTATTCAGATACTGATCAAAACAACTAGCGTCACTTCTGCCCTTAGTGGGCAGTCCCAGCAGACAGTGAGTTCAGACATGACCAGAAAAGGTCAAAGTGAAAAGCATCCTGATCCAGGATTTGTAGCCTCAGACGCCCACTTCCTATCTTTCAACTAACTATGAGAGCCTAACTCAGACTCCAAGCCAGTTTCCTGCCAAGGTTACTTAATAAATGAGAGAGGAGAGAGGAAAGAGAGATGTGAGAGGGAGGGCTAGGGGAGGAGGGAGTATCCTGGGGCTTGAATTCAGGGCCTGCACACTGTCCCTTAGCTTTTCTCTCAAGGCTGGCACTCTACCATTTGAGCAATAGCTCCACTTCTGGGTTTTGGTGGTTAATTGCAGAAGAGAGTCTCATAGACTTTCCTGCCCCAGCTGGCTTTGAACTTCCATCCTCATCTCAGCCTCCTGAGATCTAGGATTGTAGGTGGGAGCCATCAACACTCAGCTCTTGCTCAGCTTTTGAACTCATAGCTGGTGCTCTAGCACTTGACCACACTTCCAGTTCTGGCTTTTTATAGTTAACTCATAAGCGTCTTGATCATTTGTCCAGGCTGGCTTCCAACTTTGACCCTCAGATCTCAGTCTCTAGAGTAGCTAGGACTATAGGTGTGAGCCACTGGTGCCCAGCAGTACTAGGGTCATTTTTAAATACCTCTGCCTTCCTGTGGCATGTCAGGAGGACCTCTGGATGCTGGGCTAAATCACAGGAGGATGTATGTGGAAAGTAATCAGCCAAGCCGAGTGCTCAGCTGAGAATGCTAAGCACTAAGTGCAGTGTCCTTTGAATCTGTGGGTTGGTCTGCACTACAGCACCTCCACACACGAAAGCCCAGAACAATGATTGTCTGTTCAATGCAAGGTGAGTGCAAAGAGCACTGGGAGTGAGGGAACCACAGGAGAAAGAAGTCAGCTTGCCCACCCTGCCAGAGTGAAGAAGGCATTGAGGGCATGTTGGGTTGGCACTCTCCGCATTCATGCTATGCAGGACACACCTAGTTGTCCCCTCCTCCCACAGCAGCCAACGCTCTGCTAGTCTTGGAATCGAGGCAGCTCGAGAGCCCAAAGTACATGGGACCCTGACAGGCCCTCCTGGTATCTGGAGGAACGGCAGCCATCGGTGGCGGGAAAGATGGTCAAACAAAAGCAGAAACTAAAATTATACCAAGGGAAAAACAGGAAGAGTCTGTGAAGTAAAAACAGCAAGGAGAGGGCTTGCATTTAACACCCACAGTGTCCTACTTTCACTTTCCCAAGAGAGAATTCTGTCGTCTCCAGCCTGGTGCCAATGGTTTGGCATGCAAGGGGCGGACCTCGGTTACCTAGTGGATCCAGACGTGGCTCAGCTTGATGGGTGGGTCCTGCCTGCAACAGGGTCTGTCAGTGTGTCAGCTCGGCCATGCCTTCCCAGAGGGGAATGCTGGCCCAGCCGGTAGTTTTCACACACACTGGTAACAACCTAAAATAACCCTAAAATAATGTTTGCAGGCCAGGGGACCAACAAGATCCTGGACCCCAGGTTGGTCTTGTCATAAGTAATGCCCCCTTGAAAGCTCCTTAACAAGATGCCTCAGACAGAGCTCCATCTCAAGGCTGTGAATGCAGGCAAGCTGTCCAAGGCGGTTGCAAGGATGAGTGAACCAATCCATCAATCCATCCATCCACCCATCCACCCACCCACCCATCCATCCATCCATCCATCATCCATCCATCCATCCACCCACCCATCCACCCACCCATCCACCCACCCACCCATCCATCCATCCACCCATCCATCCACCCATCCACCCATCCACCCATCCATCCATCCATCCATCCAATGCTACTCACCATGTAAGAAGGAAAGATGAGAACTCGCTTGTGCTTGCCACAAGGCCACTGGGGGTCATCCAAGAGATTTGGGTCATAGTCCATAAAGTCTCCTGGGTCACTACCTGAAGATCACATTCAGAATGATAAGTAGGGGCCCTGGACTTCCTGAGGCAGAGGCTGCTGGAAGAATGCCAGTTACAGTTTTTGAAGACAGGCATTTGGCTCAGTGTCACATCACTGGCTTTTTTTTTTTTATTAAAGCTGACTTCTCACTGAGGTAGATCCCCTCACCAAAACCTCAACAAATTCTTACCATTCTGACATTTTCCATTTTAGAAAACTCCCTGACTCAGGACAACAAAAACCTTCTCACAGACTACCACATGCACAGATGCCTGGAGACTCAGCACAGCCCAGAGAAGGCTCCTTTTCTAAACTTGAAGACCAATTACGAGACTTGGTCTAGGAGCATGAGTTGGGATGCAAGCTTCCAGGCAGGCCACAATGGGGGGATGAACGCAAACCAGAGCAGCCACCAAGGCACACAGCTATAAACAACCCAGTTGGTGTCAACACAGAGGCCAGCTGACCTGGGGAACAGCTCATTCACCTGGAATTGCTGAGAACAGAAATGATGGCTTCCTAATGAGTTTTTGTCCTCATGTTGATTCTTACAGAAGTTAGTGTGGGCAGAGCCCAAGTACACAAACCTTCCTTCAATGGCTCACTCAGCTTATGTACTATAATAACCATAAACAAACTCCTACCTGATCCTGATACTGCATTGTGGGTTCCAGTTATTTGCGGGGGAGGGGAACCCCCAAAGCCAAGCACCATGATATTGGGGGACATAACTGGGTGAAGGAAGAGCTGAGTGGTCAGGAAAAGTTGGGAAGCCAGCCATCTCTGTATGGGGCAGATGGCCTAGGCTTTGTCCAGAGAAATTACCTATGACTTGCTTGTGAGATGACCATGACGGAAGATCAAGCTTTCCCCGGAGTCCTCTTGCCTGTGGGCACCTACGTGTCCTCCAGTCCCCACAAGGAGAGACACCACCTACACTGCACACATTACCACATCCCACCAGGCTGAGGTTACCTGTGTCGAGGCTCCCCTGGGTGCTGCTGGCCCGGCCTATGGAGAGGCTGCGGTGGCTCAGGTTACGGAATTGGGAGAAGGAGGAGGTGGAGTCTATGGTATTTCTCCGGGTTCCAAAGGCATTGGTGGGTAACAGAAATTGGGTATAAGAAACCGTCTAAAAGGTGAAGGTAAAAATCAATCAGTGATTTGTTCCCCGGCAAGGCTAAGGCTTCTGCCCAGGCTATCCTGCCGCTCCAAATGCAGATTTGTGTTTTTAAATGTACAGTTCTCAACTGAGATCTGAAAACTCAGCAAAGCAGTTTGCTTTGGTATTCACTGTGCCAAAACCTCACCTGGACCTGAGGGCATGTACAGTGCTCATGGACCCTAGCTAGTGTAACTGCTTCTGTTATAGGACAGATATATTAACATATTGTGTGTGTGTGTGTGTGTGTGTGTGTGTGTGTGTGTGTGTGTGTGTGTGTGTGTGTGTGTGTGTGTGTGTGTGTGTGTGTGTGTGTGTGTGTGTGTGTGTGTGTGTGTGTACTGGGACTTGAACTCAGGGGACTGTCCCTTTTTCACTCAAGGCTAACACTCTACCACTTAAGCCACGCCTCTACTACTCTAGTTTTCTGCTGGTTTTAATTAGACCTAAGAGTCTCAAGGAGTTTCTTGCCCAGGTTGGCTTTCAACTGTGATCCTCAGATCTCAGTCTCTTTCATAGCTAGGATTACAGGCATGAGCCACCGCCCTGGGCCTTGTGTTGTTCTGTATACTCTACCAAATACAGAATTCTAGGACACACCAGGCCAGCAGAGTTCTGATAAGGATGGTGGGCTTCTTGCTTTTCTGGTTGGTGCTGTATATGACACTCAACCCCACACTGCCTTGTTCCACTGCAAAGGGTGCTTAAATCACCCAGTCCATCTTGGAATGTGCACATGTGTATATGAGCATGTCAGTATTGCACAAGCAGCTGTAAATGGTAACAGAGAAATACTGTACATGTACCCAAGGAACTCCCAGCCCACTGGTACTGAACCAGGGGCTCTCAGTGGGATTTTTGTCTGCACTCTGACTGGCATAGGCAGCTGGAAATCTGCCCCTAGACCTTGTTTCTTTCTTCCTAGCTGAGTCTCATGGTCTAGCTCACTGCCTCTGCCTTAGGGCATCTGTAAACACCTGCGGAGTGAAAGCCCGGAGCCTTACCTTGCCATCAGCACCCAGCTCCACACCTTCCAGGCCAATGATCTCTTTCAAGCTCATGGTGCCTGCTGACTGTCTCCCTCCATCCAACTTCAGATCCCTGGAGAGGACAAACCAAAGGGAGAATACTCCTTCGTGCTCCCATAAGAGTGACAAAGGATGCTTACTGCACGAGACATGACAGTCACACTGATGCAGGACCATGGGGGTGCAATGGGTGGGACGTCCCTTTGTCTTTCCTTGGGGGCTTGTCAGTGATGCTCTATTTTGTTCCCTTCACTTGACACAGCTGAAACCCAAGTATAAAGATTAAAGCCAGATGCAGCCAATGGTCATCCAGTAAGGCCCCTAAGTTCTTAAGAGAAAGCCAATTATCAAGTGGGGATGTATCCCAGGAATGCTAGAGACAGCGAGTTTCCTGGGATGCTGAGTTCTTTTGAAAGCTGTTAGATGAAAGCCACTCTCTTGATCAGACAGGATCAATTAATATCCTAAATGCCCATCTCCACTGCTAGTAGCTAAAAGATTTATATCACAATATTCAGCCCAACAACTTTGCCAAGCCCTGAGGGGGGGGGGGAAGAATAATCCCCAGGAATAATAAGCCTCTTGCATCATGCTGTGCAATTTCCAAAGCCTTTTTTATTCATTTTTAAATTTCTTTGAGGTAATTTTAAAGGCTAGGCTGCAGTTTGGTGGTAGAGTGCTTGTCAGCATATAAAAGGCTCTAGGTTCAATCCTTACCGTAATAAGAGAAAACAAAGATGACTGTAAGACAGGAAATACTATTAATAACTCATTTTATAGAAGAGAAAAATTGAGGCTCAGCGTAGGTAAGTGGCGTGCCAAGGTCACCATGATAGTCGGTGATAGGATTGGTTCTGCACCCAATGTTTCTAGTGGGTCACGAGGCGCTTGTCAAAGAACAGACCTCCTTCCAGGAGACCTCAAGCTCTGCTCAATGTTAGAACTGTCCGGGACCCCTATGATCTACTGAGGTTTAGCTCCCCCCCAAAACAACCTGTAGAAGATGGAACCTGAGCATCCAGACGGTTACGTCACCCCCAAAGCATCCTAAATTGCAGCCTACTGAGGAGCTGGCTTCTGCCTTTTATCTCCATGGCACTCAGTGCTTCTAGAGGGGGCCACCCTGCACCACCGCGTTCTCACCAAGAGACCTGCACTGAGGCACCATATTCAGGGGCCAAGAGCTAAGCAAGACAAATGCGTTATAACAATAAGAGAGGGGAGGGAGAGAGGGAGCGAGAGGGAGAGAAAGAGGAAAGGAGGGGAGGAGAAAGGAGAGGACAGGAGGAGAAAGTGGGGAGGGGAGGGGAAGAAAGGCAAGGGGGAAGGTAGGGGGAGAGAGGGAGAGAGAGAAAGGGAGGAAGAGAGAGAGAGAGAGAGAGAGAGAGAGAGAGAGAGAGAGAGAGAGAGAGAGAGGAAAGAAAGAGAGAGAGATTTTCAAATGTAGAGGAACACCAAATTTAGCCCCCCTTCATCTACGGCATTCTGGGACAGACTGGATTCCTAATACACCTCAAGTGCATGGTCAGATTGGGGACATAGTCTCTTGGGAGGCCATGACACTGCCATTTGCAAACTACCACTAGTTATGCAGAACAAAAGCAAGTAATCAAGCGACCTACGTACCCAAGTCTTCCATCTTTGTATTCGTAAGGTTTTTAGTGTCTTTTCTTAACACTGAATTTTTTTTTTTCTGAGACTGGAACTTGAACTCAGTAACTGATCTGTTCGCTTCGCTGGCTGGCATTCTGCCACTTGAGTGACACCTCCAACCCCCAACCCTGAGAACTATTAATCACTGTATGTCCCTCAATATTTCTGCTCATACCCTATGAACATAAATGAGTTCAGGTAATTAATTACAGCATAGAATATGACCCTGTAAACGCTTAGCTAGAACACACAAGTCATCCAAATGAAGCCTTCACGAATGTTCTGAGCAAGGGAACTACTTTCACATGTATTAGTATTCTCTGCTGCTCCCCTCCCCCCACCCATGGGGCCCACACTCCTGGAAGGCTGCGAGGTCCAAGATCACTTAAGTCACATCACTTTCCAAACACACTTCGTGACTGCTCACCGTTGGGAAGATCAAGCAGGCTAGAGGCAAGCAGGGCCTAGCCAAGACACCATACTCCACCCCTAAGACCATCACTCCACCATTCCACCTGCTGCAGGAGCTTCCCAATGTGATTCCCCACAGACCGCCTAAGGCAATTAAGGAGGGAGAGCGTGGATGTGCCTGGGCCTTCACCAAGGGAGATGTCCACAAAGGAAAAACTTCAACAGGAAGGTGAGGAAAGGATCCCTGGGCAGAAGAGAGCAAGGAGAGGAATCTGGGCACAGATTAGGAAAATTAGCTGGTACAGAAGCCAATAGGCAAGGGAATCTGAGCTTGGCTATAATGGTCTCCTATCTTCCCAGACCCCAACCCTGGAATTCAGGGTCCTCCCATACCCCACTGCCACTCCTAAGTTATTTCTCATTTTGTTCTCATTTGGTCGGACAGAGAATAGTATTTAGGGAACTTTTTTCTAAGGGAAGAAAAATTAAAGTAAGGTTAAGTAAGAATGTTTCTTAGTGATAGGCTGAAGGACGGGAGGCCCCAACCCATTGTCTACTGTGTGTGATACATTAAGAAACTGTAGCAGTAAGCTGGCTGTCCTGCTGGTACTGGTTTACCAAGATGGCATAGAAGATGGGTGCTGTTTTTCTTTCTGTGCCAATATTGAGACTGGCACTCAGGGCCTGGGTGCTGTCCCTTAGCGTTTTTGCTCTACCACTTGAGTCACAGCTCCCCTTCTGCCTTTTTCTCTGGCTAACTGGAGAGAAAAGTCTCCACACTTTTCCTGCTCAGGATCCTCAGAGCTCAGCCTCCCAGGTAGCAAGGATGACAGGTGTGAGTCACTAGCGCTGGGCTGTGGGTGTTTCCTATCACACCCCACTCACCTGTCTTCATCTTGTCACACTCACTCCATCCCTGGGACAGGCTCTGCCCCTGCTGGCTGTCCACTGACTGTTAGCTGCGCACATGACCCTTAACAAAAGCAAACAAGCCATGTCTTTTCCCGTACCTCCTTTTTCCACGCTTCTCCCAAGAGAAACGAAGCAAGGAACAAAAAAAAAAAAAATACAAAATGTGCTCACATAAAATCCAAAATTCCTCTCCATGAGCTCACCCCAGCCCTTTGGGGATTAGTAGAGTCATTGGAGTGTCCTGAGGCACTCAGGACACCAGGGCTCATGTGGAAGATTAGGTGGAGCCAGGCTGCACCTCATAGGCTCTCTGGGGAACTGGTGTGACCCTGCTGGAATGGTGTCACACTTCCTGCTGGCTTTTCCCCTCCCATTATTCTACTTTCCAAAGAGCTCGAGTTGAGCTGAGTGAGCCAGAAGCTGGAGTCTACCTTCAGCTGTGCTGGCTCAGGGCAGCCATCCCGGCTCCCCCCATGATGGAAGTGGTCTCTACAACCTCTGCCCAACATGTGGGCACAGGACCCTTGCGATGCGGCCAGCAGATGAGGAACCCCACGTTTAATCCGATGCAGTTTTAAGTGTTAAGTAGCCGCAGGTGGCTGGGGACAAGCTTATCTGACTAAGGCTTGGTGCTTGCTTGGCAGGACTCTGGCTGCACTTGTGGGTAACTCTCCCCACCCCCGACCTGTCACATATGATTAAGTTCATGATGTGGCTTGGCCTCCCCCATTTTCTTTCTCCAAACAGTCTTTCTGCCTGGCACCTCAGAAGCGTTGACCTTATAGGCCCCAGAGATGGAAGAAATGATGTCACAGGGCTCCTTAGAGGAGGATCCTTCCCCCCCACCCCTCCCGCCACATCCCTTCCATGGAAGGCAATGGACACCTTGCCCAGGACTCCCTCATTACTCCTTCAACAAAGCTCCTAGACCATATGTAAGAAGTGGGCCTGCCTGAGGGTCACGGAGTGGTGGAGTGTTAGCAGTGATCAGAGTGCAACCCCAAGCCCTAGCACGGCAGGTGCCTCCAGACCCTACACCACAGCACCGTGAAGAGTGCGATGCAGGAGCTACACTCTGGGATGAACAATTTGAGCTTTCCTTTAGCCTTGTGTGGGGAGGGGGAAGGTGGGGAGGAAGGGGGATAATCTTCCATACAGAGCAAATCAGAAGTGAGGTGTTTCTTGCAACGTGGCGGGTACACTGGCATCTGCTACTTTCATAGGGTGAAAAACTTCACTGCCTTGATTAACAAAAATCACAAGCACTCCAGAACACTGACTAAAAGGGGTTGAGGGGCACACTTTTCTGAACACTTTCTCGTTTGCATTCAGGGAGAAGACTGTTGCTAGCTGTGATATGAGTGGGTGTGAATTAAGAGCACATGCGTACATACAGAGACTCACTTGCATAGGGGCTGCCCAGAAGAGAACAGAAGTAGAAGGCCTTTTCTAATCAGCTCTAGTTTCTGACCACAGTGTTTGGCACCATACAGTTGGCATCTGAAAACATAAGAGATGCTGAAAACTTCTCTGGGTTGCTTTTTCTTGCGAAGCACTGGTACTGCAAGATATTGATCTGAACCTCAAGAAATCACCTTTTGGCTACACTTGACATCAACAATAGTAAGAGCAATTTTATACTGTGTCTTCTAATATTGAAGGCAATTGCCCAGGCCTTAGGTGTGAGTGCAGAACAAGCAAGACAGCGAGGGCTGTGCCTTGCATAAGCCTGAAGGGTTGGGAGGCTGCTTGCTGAAAGAAGAGATTCCCAGCCAGAGAGTCCTTTAAACCCCCTAGCAAAGCCAGGCACTGGTGGCTCACACCTGTAATCTTAGCTACTCAGGAGGCTGAGATCTGAGGATCGCGGTTCAAAGCCAGACCAGGCAGGAAAGTCCCAATTCACACCAAAAAAAATCTCTAAGTGGAGCTGTGGCACAAGTGGAAGAGTGTCAGCCTTGAAAAAGTAAGAAAGTTAAGGATTAGCATTCAGGCCCTGAGAGTTCAAGGCCTAGTACTGGCACAACAAACAAATAACAACAAAAATCTTCTAGTAAATAGTTAAGCAGAAATCCCAGGGGCCAGGGGATAGTGATTAAA